CGATGCCGTGTTGCTGTGTATACCCTTTTGCTACTAATCGGGCCTTGTATTTGTCAATCTGACCAACTTCATTGTACTTGGTCTTGTAAATCCACTTGAGACCAACAATCTTTCCACCACTAGGCAAATCTACCAATTCCCACGTATTATTCCTTTTTATGGATTCCATTTCAGTATCCATTGCCTGCTGCCATTTGACACTTTTAACAGCCTCCTCAAAAGAAGTAGGATCACCATCACACGTAAACAAGGCTAAGTTAGAGAAAGAATCAACAAGTTCTTCATTGGAAAGATCTTCACCAGTAACATAATCATTCATCCAATATGGTTGTCGGCGGTCTCGTACTGGATAACGTGTTGATGCATCAACTGGGGCTGATGTATGATGCTCAGGCTCATCATGGTCAGCGACTTGATCAGCATTTTCAGCCTCAGGTATTTCAGAACTGCTGCTGCCAACATCTTTCTCTTCTTCCCACTCTAACTCATACGCCGTGGAAGATTCAGAATTGGTGTGCCAATTCCAAGCCTTATCTTCTTCAAAGACGACATCCCTACTAATGATGATTCGTTTGGAAACTGGATCATATAGTCGGTATGCTTTGGATACATCACTGACGCCAAGTAAAACACAAGGAAAACTCTTGTTATCGAGTTTGGTTCGCTTAGCATCAGGAACATGAACATGGCCAATGCAACCAAAAACCCGAAAATACTCAACTGAAGGTTTGATGCCACTCCAGGCTTCTTCCGGGGTTTTATTTCTTACAGCAAGAGTAGGACTGCGATTTAAGATGTGCACAGTCCAATTGACAGCTTCCGGCCAAAAAGTGCGAGGAATTTGTTTGTTGGACAGCATGCTTCGAGTAAGATTCATTATAGTTCGATTCTTTCTTTCAGCAATGCCGTTCTGTTGTGGAGAATATGCGGCTGTCAATTGGTGTTGGATACCATGCTCTGCACAATGTTGCATGAATTCGTGAGAAGTAAACTCTCCTCCTCGATCTGTGCGTAGGCCTTTGACAGCATGACTAGTTTGTTTCTCAATGTGAATCTGGAAACTTTTGAAAACACCTAGAGCTTCTGATTTTGCAGTCAAAAAATAAACCCATGTTTTGCGGCTGAAATCATCGGTTAAAGTGAGAAAATACCTTTTTCCACTGTTGGATTCTGGTTTAATTGGCCCACAAATGTCAGCGTGAATCAATTGTAGAATGTGATCTGCTCTCCATGTACTATGTGATGGGAAAGACTCTCTATGTTGCTTCCCAACCAAACAATCTTTGCATGTCTTTGTTGAATACTTCAAGTGGGGCAGTGCAGTCACCATCTTTTTCTGAACAAGAGTTTGGAGTCCCTTGAAACCTAAATGTCCGTACCGACAATGCCAAAGATACCATTCATCCTCAGCAACAGTGTTAAAACATGTAGAAGACTTAGGTTGAGCCACGGCATTTAGAATAAACATTCGATTGGCAGCCATCTTTGTTTCCATGAGGAGACCTATTTCAGGATGAAATACTTTGCATTTTCCACCTTCAAACATGATAGTTAGGTTTTTGGCTTGCAGTTGTCCAATGCTTAGTAAGTTGTTCTTCAATTCAGGCACAAAGAAAACTCCAGTAATGATATGCACCCTACCATTTACTTGCAACCTTATATTGCCCATGCCCAGTACAGCCATAGAAGTATTGTTCCCCAATTTAACCGAGTCACGATAATTTTCATCAAGATCAGAGAAAGATGATTTCATACCACACATGTGATTGCTGCATCCTGAATCAAGGAACCATTGATTTTCATAAGAGTGTGTTGTAATATCAACCTGCGCCATGAGTAGCAATTCTTCTTGACTTTCAGCATAATGAGCCTCATTCTCCTTGGATAAACATTCCCATTGGAAATGTCCCAGCTTGTGGCATTTGTAGCATTCTACGGTTGATCGATCACGACTTTGTCTACCACGACCTCTACCTCGAGCTCCACGACCACGTCCCCGACCTCCAAAAGTAACAGCTAGAGCATGCTCTTCTTCAATAGAAGGACACATACGCTGTTCATGTAGAAGCAACTTGCTTTGAAGTTCATCAATGGTCAGTGCATTTGTGTTGTTTGACTCCTCAATAGAACATACAACATAGTTGAACTTTGGAGTCAGCGACCTCAAAATCTTACTCACAACATCGCTGTCATCTTTGTTTTCACCACAGGCTTTCATCTTATTGACGATTGTAAGAATTCGAGAGAAGAGGGTCGTTATTGTTTCTCCTTCCTTCATATGCAGAATTTCATATTCCTTGCGTAGGGTTTGCAATTGAGCCTGCTTGACTCGATTCGTCCCTTGATACTTTATTTTCATGGAGTCCCAAATATCCTTTGCGGTATCCTTCTTGAGAATTGTCTCCAAGATAGAACGATCCAATGCTTGAAAAAGATAGTTCTTGGCCTTCAAATCTTTGAGTTGCAACTCATTTTGCTGCTTCTTTTGTGCATCTGTCAACACTGTTCCGACTGCAGTCTCAGGGATGCCTTCATCTATTAATCCCCAATACTCTTTTGATCGTAGAAAATTTTCCATGAGCATTGCCCAATGATCATAGTACCCATCGAACTTAGGAACTGCTGGTTGTACAAAAGAATTTTCTGAAGTCATGCTTGCAAGTATGGCTCACTAACACTCACTCTGTATAAAGAAATTCTAGGCTCTAGATACCATATGTTAAGAAACAAGATACATATATGGAATAAGGTTTGAAGCAAAGAAGATTAATTTTATTGTTGAGAAGTAATGGCTATTATATAGCCTTACATCAGTTACAGGAAGAGGAAAAATACCACGTAACCACTACTCCTACAAATATGGAATGAAAGCTAACTTAAAGGAAAATAAAGCTAACAGACCAATTGAATAGGTCTTTTATTAACATCAAAGAAACCACCCACTAAACCCACTAACAACTAGTAATACGTGTTAACTTCTGTCCTCAACATTTTTAACATATAGTATAGTTTTTCTACTATGGTGATAATTCGAGTCACGAAGTCTTCAGATATTCTATAATCATAAGCCAATTAAGCAAACTGATTAGCTTCATGGTTATCTTCTCTAGATATTTGTTCAATTATGATATCTTCAAAACTTTTAAACTATTATCCGTCATTCGGTTATACAACTTATTACTAATATATTATTATTTACGTATCAACTATTTAACTATAATGGATAGTCTTTGAGAATACTCTGAAGCAAAATTATGTATAACCAAAGTAAATTCAACCAATAAAACACAAATCTCCCTTATGATGGATCCTTACTAATGATCACGAGTTAGTGAAAACACAAGAATATATTCTCCACTGTTATTATGTAATTTGCTATATTGCATTGATTTTGAATTGAAAATACTAAGGAAGCATTAAGTGAAAGGCCATAAGAGAGAGTCATGCCAATAAATCTTGAAATAACATCATATGTTTAAAGTATACTACTCGTATAAGACACAACTATGGTTAAGAAAATAATAAAAGGGAAATCATAAAGGCACTAATAGAAGAAGTCTCACCAGAGGAAAGTGTTCTGGGTGAAAGTACAACTATACACAGTGCGGCAGATGCAAGAACAACAACACTGTGTTTCTAACCGTTGAATCAAAGCTTACTAAGAATAGTCGTAAACTACAAGAATTGAGATATCGAAGTGTTATCAAATTCTCCAACTGAATGTAAAACTTCTAGTTTGAGTTCTGTAGAAGGTCCATCCATATCAACATGCAACCATCTCTCTCAAAAAGACCCTACAACACCACAGGATAGGAGGCCTCCTATGGTTACAACAGTAGCATTCACTACTAGACAAGATAAGTCATGGAACATTCTTAATGTAAAGTAAGCATGTAAAAAGTTAGACTGAAAATGACTTCAAACTATCTAATTTTAGTAACATGTTTTGGATAGAAAATAGTCATTAAATTAAACTTGTTTGTTGATGATTGACATTAACCCTACCATGTATCAAAATTAAACTCATAAATTGATTCCTATCTTACAATAATAATGCAATAGTAACTCTATTCAGCTTTTTTATCAATGATTTATATATTGGTAGATATGATTAGGCGATACAAATGTTCAAGATATATCAATGTCTACTATAAAGTTTGAGGATTTAATCTAAGTTGCATACTTACCTATCCCTGAGAAAGTGAGGCGGGTCAGACTTTGAGGCATGGAAGCTCTCTGGAGTTAAAATTTTGGTTCATGTACTTTAGTATCCGGTGTTGAATTACTAATAGTTGAAACATTTGTTGTCTGAAACTTTCCAAAAGGTACAACTTGCACATAGAAGGAACATGAAAAACTAAGCAACCAAGTCAAAGTCACTTTAGATTGTTATCAGAAAAGAATTAACTACATAGTACTTAATTGGTGCTTGAACCATCAGCTGCAACGGTCTTCAACCTTTTAGCCCTGGGCATGCTGCTCGAACTGGCTACTTCATCTTTAAAGTTTTGATCAGCCAACTCTGATATGCCAAATAAAAATATAAACATTATAAATATCCCAACCTTATTCCTGTAAAAAAAAAGTATCACAATCATGTCATAATCAGAAATGATTTAAAAGCATAGTGCAGAAGAACCGGAGAAATAAATAATCGCTCTTGAATATACTCATTTTGAGGACCAGAAAACTAACTTGATACACATTTCAGATATTGATATGCATTACTTGACATTACGAGTATTGCGTGATTGAAGACTGATACTTCAGTCCTTTAATAATTCAGTGGTAGAAATAGTGACAACTTGTTTAATGTTCACACACATCTTCAATCATTCCGCGAAGCTTCATAACAACGTAGTCCAAGAAATTGTGTTCTTAATTGGCATTTCATCAAACATCTTACATACATTGTCTATTCTCAATGCTCGAGCCTATGCAACAACCATTGATGTCCAAGACACGACATCTTTCTCTAACATCGAGAGAAAAATACGAAACTAAGAATCGGGTTCACCACATTTTCCGTAAGCATCAACCAAAGCATTGTTGAGAATCACATTGGAGTAAAATCCAACTAAAACTGCCACCCCATGAACCTGTTGCAACCATTTAACATTACCCAAACATGAACAGCTTCCCACTATGCTAACAAGCGTGAACTCACCTAACATCAAAACTCCACAACCCTTTTGCATCACCCTAAAGAGTTTAATTGCTTCTTCGTAAGTCCCATGACGTGTTAAACCAGATATAAACGAGTTATAGCTAACGTAGTTTTTTACGGCATTTTATCGAATAGTTTATACTGTTTGTGAAAAACAATTTTAAAAGAGGATTAACAAGCCAGTTTTCCTAAACCAAGAGTAGTTGGACAAAGTTTACCTAAACCAAGGGATTTTAAATCAATGAATTAATAAGGTAGTTGGATAGAGTTTACCTAAATCAAGGGATTAACAAGGTAAACAAGAAAGAGTTTTCCTAAACCATAAAATTAACAAAGCAATCTGACAGCGTTTATCTAAATCAAGGGATTAACAAAGTAAACAAGAAAAATTTTACTTAAACCAAGGGATTAACAAGACAAAAAAAGGAAAAAGTGTGCCTAAACCAAGGGATTAACAAGGAAAACATGAAAGAATTTACCTAAACCAAGGGATTAATAAGATAACCAGGAAAAAGTTTGTTTAAACCAAGAGATTGACAAGGCAAATGAAAGAGAGAATAAAAACATGTCTAAACCAAAGGATTAACAAGACAAGTTGAACAGAGTTTACCTAAACCAAGGTATTAACAAGGTAAACAAGAGAGAGAATAAAAGTTTGCCTAAACCAAAGGACTAACAAGGCAAGTTGGATAGAGTTTACCTAAACCAAGAGATTAACAAGGTGAATAGGAAAAAGTTTGTCTAAACCAATGGATTAACAAGGCAAACGGGAAAGAATTGTTTGGGAGCATGTTGCAAATGAGACTTTGTAAGGAAGCCTACTAGAGAAAGTTAATGAGTCTACTTGTTGGGAGATTATAACTTGGTTCAGTTGGGGAATGTCTGTATGACAGACTGACTAGGATGCATGGTAATAAGGGATAAGCTTAGTCAGAGGATTGTCATTGACTTAGCTGGAGATTGATTTTGGTTTTTTCGAGGAATCCTGACCCTTATGTTATGCCACGTATCCATGTTTTGCTATGAATGCATGTTTTTTTATGAATATTGTAACATCATAATTTCCCCCCGGAATATTTATAAATAAAATCAGAGTAAATTAAAAATTTCACTCAATTAGGATGTCACTTTATCAAACAACAACCTACTCATATTATAGAAATATGTAACACGTGCAATTTTGAAATTATTAACAAAAACTATAATAAACATCATCATGTCTAACTTCATTTTATTACAGTGGAAACATCAAACAAATATTGAAATACTTATTCAAAAACAGTTCGTGTCATAAAGTAATTATAAAATTGCAACGTAAGAGATATCACAAAATCTCTAATAACATAGTATCACAATTCAAGTGTTCGACCCCTAGTGTTATATAATAGAGCAGACACTGACACCGACACCGACGAAATAAATAAAGAAGAGCACTCTCTTCTAAACTCATTAACACCTTCACTGCAGATCATCTACGCGTTACCCACGTGGAGGCTACATTCAAACAGAAAATGTGAGATATCACAATAATATAAAAGAATGCATAATAATAAGTAGATAACATATTATTTCATGCATATTCACCCAATTCACCATTCACGCATCCACAGAAACCAAAACACCAATTTACACATCAATTATGTAATAACAACATTCATGCAACAATATTTATGCAAATGCACCGACACTAAACGCATGTGGTACCAATCCTCCATAAACACTCAGGTTCACTGCTCTGATCCTCGCCATAGGCACGAAGCACACCAAAACACACTCAATCCACACAATAGGACTGAGGCTCGCTAATACGAACCATCGTCCAAACACCAATAATGCATGATGCATATTAAACATGCAACAACAACAGGTACATTTCTTTTCACCAATAGAAATTGTACATCACTGATTCTGGCCACCATACACCGAGCACCTGTTATAATAATATGCAACAACAACTACAATATAGAAAGCAACAACAATACACTCAACACATATTTCACACACCGGCATCATACTGCAACATACAATTAATACCATGTAACATCATTACACACCATCTATTTCAGTTCCAGAAACATGAAACCATTTTTACACAAAAGTACACTGTACCAGTTCTCCACAGGTTCTAACGGCGCATCAAACAGACACCTGAAACTCAAGATGCGGATTATCAAAGTTTTTATGAAATTCTGTTAGAACATGTGATAATTGATTACACCCTTTCCTGTAATCTATCACACCCTTATTTTTCAGCCTGCATGCTCAATTTTTTGAAGTCGTAATCGATTACACCACATTGGTAATCGATTACGCCTTTTTTCAAAAACCCAGTTTTTACATAAATACATTGTGTAATCAATTACACCTTCGAAAATTTCCCAATGTTGAAAAGTTATCGCAGCTATAATAGATTGCCCCATACCCGTAATCGATTACCACTGCGACATAAGCAATTTTTTGCTATATCAGTGTATGAAAATCAGTCAAATTCCAACCCCAAAACCCAAACTTTTCTAAAACAGTGAGCATTCAAATTTTACAGGTTCAATCCTATCAATATACATAATCACAACATTCACCAACAAATACATCATTCAACACAACAACATTATATCACCATTCATCAAGTTGATTTAAACACAAAAAGAGATAATTACAATGATGCAGAGATACAATTCAACCATAGCAATCATAACGCCAAACCTACAAACTATTATACAATCCCTTAGAAATATGGAATCCCCCCTTACATTGGTATTCTTAGCACAAGATCTTGACCTCTACAATGCAATATACCTCTTCTTTCCTAAGTCCTAGCTCTGCACTCTAACTTTTCTCTCATCTTTTCACGTTATGCCAGTTCTAACTTTACTGGCCCTATTTCTCTTATATTATTATTATTATTATTATTACTCCAACTAAATAAAATAATTAAAATAAAAACTAAATAATTATTTAATCTTATTATTACTATTATTATTTAATCAATTTTAAATAATGTTAGTAACAACATTCTCTCACCACCCCTATCTTTCTACCTTTTTACTCAGACACCCCCAACATCTATATTTCAAATTCTAAAGGTCATCATCTTACACTGAAGGGTCCCCAAACACACCAAAATATCGAATAAAACACAACATCACACAAATCAATTACAAATAATGAATTAAAATAAATTGGTGTGTTACAAATGTATGATTGGAATTTGTATGACGTAATGTTCCATATTCGTTGATATGTTATGCGTGACACAATGCATTCATGAGAGGCTTTTCCAAGTTTTGCGAATTTTGGTTAATATATACCAATGGATGATTTCTCTTTCAAAGTGAGTATATCATGATGGACTCAATTTCCCCCTTTTTAGGATTCAAGCTTGGCAATACATGTACAAACGTTCTGGACGAGCACTGGTAGATGACGAGTATTAGAAATGGTCAGACGAGAACTGGACTCTAATTATAGGTATTGGGTGCCTAGCAAGGCTGGACTTTGGGTTGTAGTTTGTAGGAGCCAACCAAGGCTGGGATTTGGACTGTAGTTGTTTGGTGCCAAGCAAAGGTTAAGCTTTGTGAGATGCTAAGCGATGTTAGGCTTTGTAGATGTTAGATTCATGATATGGGAACATGCTAGATTATATGCATGGCATGATGCTGGAGCGAAGTGACCTAATAAATGCATGACAATGGTAGGACTCAACACCGACGGTGCTGGGATTTGGTCTCAAGTGATCAATGGCAGGGTGGTTCCTCCTCCTGATTCCCCCGAGGCAGAGATCAAAGTGAGCACTCCGTGGAGTGACTAATGTTTCCCAGATAATTTGGCTGTTTGTATTCGGGGCCTGCGTGCCCGTAATTTTTGTAATACTCAGACAATGTCAGCCCTCGTGGCCAGCGTTTATAAATGTTTTTACTTTGCTTTTATGCCTTTATGCTTTTGTTGATGTTTGTTAAATATTTACTTGTCATTGTTTTTGACTTGTTTATTTTATGAAAGTTTGTATTTCCGTGAATGGAGATTTGTGCTCGACCTTGGTTGTGGTCGACACACGTTGGGATGTGTCGAGGAGGAGGTGTAAGAATCCACGGGACGAACTCAAGATCGCGGTCGGGATCTTGACTTCGTGGCATGAATTGTCCATTACGAGTTGGGTGTTCTGCTTGTTGGGTACTTCGATAGCAGAGCTCGGTCGAGGTGTCCTTGTCGGGCTAAGGTTTGGCTCGAGAAATGAATAACAAAACTCGCTTTTCGTTAATGTTTGAAGGCTATTTCCGTGCCTCGACATGCCTCTGTGGTCAAGCATATCCTATCGTCTGTTAGAGAGGATTAATCAACTGCTAATACTCGTCACTTGACAAGGACTTAACTATAATATTGTTTCAATTTTGCAGCGTTCCATGGTCGAGGTAGCGGTTCTCTAGTTAGTTGTTCGAGGTAATATTTCCCAGTGCCCAGAGCTCCTTGGACGTGGTAGGGTCCTTCCCAGTTCGCGACTTGTTTCCCTTTGCGGGAATCTTTCTGATTTCTCTGCAAGACTAGGCTGCCGACCTGGAATTCATGTTTTATTTGTTGTCATGGCGAAGGGTTATCTGTTGTTTCGGCGTGGCCTCACAAAGAGCTTCTCCTGATCTAATTTGCTCGACTAGGTCGATTTATTCTCTTAGGGCCTCGTTGTTTAGTTCCTCGTATATGGGAACTTCAGTTCGCCTGGACGGCTCCATGATTTCTACGGGGATGATAACTTCGGTGCCATAGGTCATCCGAAATGGGGTCTCATTGGTCATTGAGTTTGGTGTTGTTCGGTATGCCCATAGGACACTATGCAGTTCTTCGACCCACCCCCTTTTGGCTTTGCCTAGCCTGCGCTTGAGTCCTCGCAAGATGACTCTATTTGTGGCTTCAACTCGTCCGTTAGTTTAAGGGTGTTCGACCGAGGTGAAGTGCTGCTTGAGTCCGAGCTTGGTGATGAAGTCTTGGAAACCTTGATTGGTTGTGTCCCATTGTCGGTGAGGATCGCTTCTGGTATCC